TATTACCACGACTTAGTATCTGGCCAAAACTATACAGTGTTGACACCCTCAGGGCTACATATTGCACGCACAATATTTGGGCCAACTGTGTACGGTAAGGGTTTGATCACAGCAGAGAAAATCTTTAGCAGCGCCTACCATGCAATAACGGCCCTCCACGAACACAGCGAGCGAAAAATGCTGAACAAGATGTTCGAGTCAGAGGGACTAGAGATATCGGAAGAAGAGTGTCACAGCGATGACAAAACTCACAAAACTTGGAACAATATTCCAAGAAAACTTCTTTCGCAAATGGGTTCATAACAGCACCATTCCCTTTGAAAGGAAACGTTGCTCTTCTTGAAGACAACCACGGCGTCGCAATTAGACGCCTCGAATCCTTACAAAAGACGTTGCAACAGTCTCCTGAAAACCGCAGATGGTATTCTCAATTACGGAAAAAATTTGGAAGAGGGTACGGCAAACCTCTTTCCATCCACCTCGAACCTGACGCCGTGGGGACGTACTACATGCCTCACTCGTGGAAGCCCCACAAAAGTCCCGCTTAGAATCGTTTCCGGCGCGTCATCAAAAAGAAGGAATAAGTTTCCCTCAATGGACGTCATTCACAAAGGAGAGTTCGATTTAATTAGACAAAATACATTTATGTACTTTATTTCATCGCGCAAAGGAGTATCCTACTTAACGCGTGCGACATCCGAAGCTGCCCGTCCTATTGCCATCTCGGTGCCATGATCAAATTACACAAAAGACCTGTGCAGGTTTCTGTGGATTGAAAATGTCCGCTTAGCTCCCACCAGGGGCAATACAGTTCAATACCGCTTCCGAAAATTACCATTCGGATTGACGGCTTTCCCCCAGCATACTAAATATGGGGCTTGCCTCCTACCTTTATTCCCCTAGCTCAACTTCGTCCCTGGCTAAAGAATTGCTAGCAGACCTTCTGGAATAATACTAACGCATGGTGCCGCCCCGACCGATGTGGAAAACATGTTCGAACTTTCGTCAAAGGAGTTGTTTGCCAAGATCGCACTCATCATTATATTACCCATAGGTTGCTAGCAATTTCTTTAGCCAGGGACGAAGTTTAGCTAGATAATAGGTAGGAGGCAAGCCCCATATTTCGCAGCTATGCTGGTGGGAAAGCCGTCAACTCCGAATGGGTAATTCGGGAAGCCCCCGTATTGAACTGTATTGCCCCTGGTGGGAGCTAAGCGGACATTTTCAATCCACAGAAACCTGCACAGGTCTTTGTGTGATTTGATCAACCGAATGTGCATGGAAGCAGCTTCGATGTCGCACGCTTAGTTAGGCATCACTCCCTCTTGCCGTGAAATAAGTTACATAATTTATTTTGTCTACTAAATGACTCTCCTTTGCTGAATGAATCATGAGGGCAACTTATTCCCTTCTTTTTTGCGATGACGCGCGCGGAAACGACTTTAAGCACGGGACTCTTGTGCTGGGCTTCCACGATGAGGCATGTAGTACGTCCCCACGGCGTCAGGTTCGAGGTCGGAAAAAGGTTCGATCGTACCCTCTTCCAAATTTTTTCCGTAATTGAGAATACCATCTGCGGTTTTCAGGAGACTGTTGCAACGTCTTTTGTAAGGATTCGAGGCGTCTAATTGCGACGCCGTGGTTGTCTTCAAGAAGAGCAACGTTTCCTTTCAAAGGGAATGGTGCTGTTATGAACCCATTTGCGAAAGAAGTTTTCTTGGATATCTGCTTCCAGCAGTTTTGTGAGTTTTGTCATCGCTGTCTGTGACACTCTTCTTCCGATATCTCTAGTCCCTCTGACTCGAACATCTTGTTCAGCATTTTTCGCTCGCTGTGTTCGTGGAGGGCCGTTATTGCATGGTAGGCGCTGCTAAAGATTTTCTCTGCTGTGATCAAACCCTTACCGTACACAGTTGCGAGCCAATATTGTTGCGTGCAAATAGGTAGCCCCTGGAGGTCGTCAAACATGTATAGTTTTGGCAATACTAATCTCGGTAATAGTACAGGCCTACTAGAATGGCGAGCGTTTGAACTCTCCACTTCGCCTTTGACGTTTACTAACCCAGATGTTGTTTCTTTTAGAAATCAACGTCTGTACTCGCTGCAGCCTACACCGGGCGAGGCCGTTGGTCAGTACCAGCTTTGTTTGGACTTTAAGCTGAAAAGCCTTCCCAAAACCGCTGCTTATTTTGGCTGTTACTATATGACTTTCGAAGTTTTCAATGAGGCCCCCAATGTCGGACATGGTGCAGATTTTAGTTGTTCATTTGGGAAGGCCGAACTGATCTGCTACCTTCTCTTCTATTATAGTCTTTGAGCGCCGGATCAAAGAAGAATAAAACTTTCTCATACCTCTGCTCTTAGAAATTCCAGACATTTCCTTCAGCCGTCATGAGGACTAGCCGAGAGTATGGTTTGTCTACGTTCAGGCTTTCTGCCCTCATGTGGGTGTTTAAAAAATTTCTTTGGTCGTGGTAAGCGCTATTGTTTTGTGGACCACCGCTATGGTTCGCATTTTGACTGCGCTGGGGTTCAAAAGGCTGTTGTCCTCGATTATTCTAATTATTATTGATTTTGGTGTTGTTTTGTTCCCTAGCATATCTATTATTTGGTCCATTGTTTGGATTGTATGGGTTAGTATGTCCCGTTGGAATAATTGTTCATTGCTTATTGCATAAGGAAAGTGGTGTTTTTGGCCGCACCTGGGACAGTCTGCTTTCTGGCAGTCAAAACTGTTGTGTTTCGCTGAGAAACATTTCCAACAGCGGTTTCCTTCCCTCACTATTTTACGGCGGGTACTCGGGTCTGTGACCGTTCGGCAAGCCGCTGATATATGATTACCCCTGTGGCGAAATAGGCATTCTTCGGTGGACTGAGGTCGGGTGCTGTGCCGTTGGCTAGGCGAGTAAACTGTATTGCCATTGCTAGCCTGGTTTACGCTCTACTCCATAGCTCAATCTATTGTCGACGTAGCATTTGGCGGTAATCTCTTTTTTGAGATGACCTAAGAGGTCCTTAATGGGCTGATTAGATGTGCCCTGGCTAGCTATGAGAACATGTTTTACTATCTCACGGGGAACTAATCAGGATAGTCTCACACCACATAGGATCGCAGGTGTTCCTGACATAATATCCTGCGGGTCCATTTGCTCACTAGGACTTGTATCTGGTCTGACGTAGCGGAAAAACTATATGCACAAGCGTGGGCTGAGTTGAGTGAGACTAATTTTTGTATTACTTGAGACCTGTGAGCAGCGTAGTCGAAGTAGGTCTCTTGGAGTGTTTTTATTATCCACTCGTAGTTTTCCGGTAGAGGCTGTATCCCTTGGATGACGGTCTTTGCCCTGCCCTCAAGATATTCTCTCGGATGAATGATCTTTTTTATAACTTCTAATTCTTCGCAATCGTGAACTGGAGTCTTATATACGACCCAGAATTGTGAGGCTCCCAAGCACCGGAGTGGCATTAAGTACGTTCCCACGGCGTTAGGATCAGAGTCGGAGAATGGTTCAATCGTACCTTCTTCCAAATATTTCTCTACCAGCCGGCTTCGCCGGCTGACACCGGCGCGCCTCCTTCTGAGATACAGCACGGCTTCGTCGAGCGGGCGCGGCTCCGCCGCGCTTACCTTCTTCCACACATTTCATTAGCCGCCTAGTATCAGGCTTTTCTTTTACCTGAACAGGTGGTCAACATTCTTTGATAGCATCATACCTGCTACTTTCAACACTATTACGGTGTATGGAGTGGTGGTAAGGAGCGTTGATCAAGTGGACAGATGAGAGAAAAGCCGGGTATTAGTCGAGCATTTGATCATACGAATGCAGGTAGGCGCGGAGCCACGCCCCGCAAAGCCGGGCCGTATCACATAGAGGTCTGGAGTGCCTGGAGTGCTCTGGAACCGCTTGAGGAATTTTTAAGGCTGGCCCCGCTCACCTTGACGCACGCTCCACACACAACAGGTATGCCTTACACTTGTGAACCGGTGACCCCTCGATGACCTTAAACCACTTTTTCCCGGTGTCTGGAGTGCTCTGGAACCGTTTTGTGAATTTTTTAAATTTGGCTCCACCCACCTCGGGGCACGCCCCGCCCACAACGTATGCCTCGCGCTTCTCAACTAATAACCCCTCGCTGATCTTAAACTACTTTTGAATCTGGAGTGCTCTGGAACCGTTTTGCGAATTTTTTAATTTGGCTCCACCCACCTCGGGGCACGCCCCGCCCACAACGTATGCCTCGCACATTCTTACATTTGATCACTTGGGACCATAATCCACTTTTTGGCACCATCTGCAGTGCTTTAGGACCAAACTACGACTTTTTATACTGTTCCTCGTGCTCAAATGCACGCCCCGCCCACTGTAGGCGGGCCTCAGCACGCCGTAAACATGGTGGACTCTTGCCAGACGTTAATTTCGTCATGGACTTTTCTGCGATCCCTAAACATTTTCGGGGACCGAGTTACCGACCTTTGTGGGAAGCGCCGCCCATCTCAAGTACGCCCCGCCCATTTCGGGTGTCTCTCCTCCATTTGGTGTGCCAACCCAGTGCTAACCTAATTCCACTTTTTCCAGTCTCCGAGCTGCTTTGTAGCCAAGTTATGGTGATTTTTCAGTGACACGGGAAGCGCCGCCCATCTCAAGTACGCCCGCCCATTTCGAGTGTCTCCTCTGTTTGGTCGGTCAGGCCTTTGTTAACTTGACTGCACTGTTTCCTCATCTCGAGACTGGAACCGAGTTATGATTTTTCAGTGACACGGGAAGCGCCGCCCATCTCAAGTACGCCCGCCCATTTCGAGTGTGTCTCCTCCATTTGGTCGGTCAGGCCTTTGTTAACTTTACTGCACTGTTTCCTCATCTCGAGACTGGAACCGAGTTATGACTTTTTCAGTGACATCGCTAACTTTGACGCACGCCCCGCCCACTGTGGGCGGGGCTTACCATGGGTCATGGGTGCTATTTAGGTTTTGTCCCATGCTCTACCCATCCCCACCATGACCCGACCTCTCCAAGTTCTTCTTCAGGTGCTATGAATTTCGTGACAAACAGACAGACACACACACACGGACATAGCCGATTATATTAGTAGGATAATTTGAGAGTGCCATTTGGGGTAGTAGTACTGTTGCAATGCTTTTGCAGGGACTCGGGGCGTCAAATTGCGACGCTGTAGTTGTCTTTAAAGAGCAACATTTTCTTTCAAGGGGAACGGTGTTGTTATGCACCCATTTGCGAAAGAAATTTTCTTGGAATATTGTTCCAAGTATTTGTGAGTTTTGTCATCGTTGTGACACTCTTCTTCCGATATCTCTAGTCCCTCTAACTCGAACATCTTGCTTCAGCATTTTTCGCTCGCTGTGTTCGTGGAGGGCCGTTATTGCGTGGTAGACATTGCTAGTAACTGAATCTAGGTTACTGAAAAAAACCTAATGCAAAAACATTTGAAACAACGAGGAGTTTTTGGATGCTAAATGGTTGGCACAGCTGCTTTCTGGCTCATCTGAAAACGTAGCCCTTAAACACTATAAGTTGCACGGCCTATTTGTGAGGTCTTGAGCCAATCTTAAGCAGTTCTAGGACCTCCCTGACTGAGCACTTCACGAACTTTGGACTGCTTTTGCAGCACCTATTATGGGTAACCAATACCAGCCTTCAATGCTCGACAATTTGACTATGCGAGCTACTAAGTACGCCCTCACCATTGCTTCCACACTGCTTCAGCCTAATCTTTCT